TGGATCAAATACTCGCAGCGCTGGAGTGAAGGCTGAAAAGGACAGGAAAGAAGAGGAACCAGAAGTACAAAAAAAATTCTAAAATCCAAGGAATGTGAGGTGTTTCCAAATTAAGGACAATTATATTAATTTATTTGAATCCATTTTTTATTTTTTTTAGCTTTACTGTTTTTCTATTTAAAAAAAAACAACACAACTGGGGGGAAAAGTTTTTTCTTTTATATTTTATTCATCCTAAGTGAGGCGTTAGGCACACACATGTGATATAAATATAAAGCCCTATCTGTTCTCTCAAAAACAATATATTATATGTGTGGGTGCACGTTGTAAGAAAGTATATTACTGCCGTGGAAGAATCACACAGCAAAAATGTAAAACGTGCTTCAGTCATTAAGGGCCTGTTCACACGACGTCCGTTTTGTGTGCCGACCTGATCCGTACGCTCCTGCACTAAAAATGCATCCCAATGTATCCCTATGTGTTTTATGGGCTACAGTTCTCACGTGCGCAGTCCGTTCAGGTTACGACAGAAAAATACTGCATGTCACATTTTGTATGGTCAGGAAACGGTCTGGAAACGCAAAACGCGTCAAACGCACTGCAGCTAACATACTGATAGCCCCACTCCAGCAAAAAAAACAAACAGGGTTGTAATCCTTTAGCCCTTTGTTAGGACCGTCCGTGTTCAAGTCGGCTTGAAATCATCCAGTTCATTACAGGCAGGGTTAGCACCCCCCACCGGTCCGTGCGGCTTTTGTCTTACGAGCATGCCACAAACCTGCCGAAAATCTTACGATTTTCAGCTGGTTTTCCAATGTGCTTGTGAGACAAAAGATGTGCGACCCTACCATAGAAACGGTTGCACACCTTCCATACACCTGCCGATTTATCGTACGTTCGCGGGATTTCCCGTGATTATCGTAAGATAATCGGCAGGTGTATGTAGTTCTCATCTTCTATTATAGTGATATAGAACAAACTGCTGCATTTTAAACTATCGGCAGAAACACAATATTCTTGAAGTTTAGATGGCTGTAACCGTACGAAATACTAAACATTTGTATTTCTTTCATATATAAAGTAAAATATTAGCACCATGGTTGTATTGATTTATACCAGAGATCTCTAATGCCCAAGCTCTGTTGATAAATGTACCTAAGCTTCTCCAGGTTGTTTAATGTGTTAAATGAAATGTGCTGATCCAGTCTTTTGATAAATTAAGATCACTGGGCAGCCTGTACTGCATATATTTTGGAAATGTCAATTTATAAATAATGCTCTTGCTTCAGTATGCAGCTCTGCACCAGCAGAGATTTAGGCCTTGTTCACACCAAGCGCAGAGCAGTTGCAGACCGGATCATAACTGCGTCCAATGTATTCCAATGGTATTTTTTAGCTCCAGTTCACATCGCAGCGTGCAGTTCCAGAGCAGGTGAAAAAACTGCAGCAAGCCCTATTTTACCTGCGCTGGAACGGATGCAAACGCTTAAACGCATGCAAGTGCCAGGAAAGCCCACGTTAAACCAAAAACGCGGCACAACCCACTGCACTGCGTGTGCAGAAACCTGAGCGGATCTGCTCTGCATTTGGTGTGAACAAGGCCTTAATGTCATCTGTAGACAGCTGTGCTGAATGTTCATTGGTACTTATTATGGGATAGTTGGGGACCCTGTCTCCTTGCTCATCCAGGGCAAATGGGACAGTGTCTCAATAATCCCCCGCTCCTTCACAGTGCTTCACCACAGCCACTACAAAATGGTGTCATCACCTCGGTCATGTGTCTGTTTTTGTGATTTGGTTGCTGGCCCCAAGGTTTGCATCAGGCGGAGTGCACATGCTTCCCAGTATCCAATAGTACTAATTTATTTTGTGGCAGTGGGAAGACAAGTGGAACTGGATCACGGGGTGGGATTTAAACAGATCCTGTTGCTTTGCCCTAAATGGGCACATTGACAGAGTCTCTTTAACTTGACAAGACCCAAATGTGATGTTTTATTAGTGTACATTGAACTATAGATGATATGTTGTGGCTATAGGCAGATTGGTGAGAAGAAAAACCGCTTTACCTTATGTACTGTGAAGTGCACACGGCCTTGAATTAAATTTAGGCACTTCAAACACTTTTTTAGGGTTAATTGAGCCAAAATGGGTTTAGTTCTAAGAAGTCCACAAAGGCGGGACAAGCTCCTTGGCATCACACCCCCTGGCCTTAGAGGAAGGTATTGAAATCTGATGTAGTTTGCCCTTTTATTAAAGCGCACGTCAAGACAAAGAAACATTTAGTACATCTCTGGGATCCATATACATCCCCACGTTTTATCCCTTTAAACACAAAAGTACCAAAAAATGACTGCTGATGAGCCAGAGATGCTGTGCTCTTACCTTCTTTTTTGACATGATGGCTTTGAATATCAACTTATTTGTTGGCCCTTCCTTGTCCTCCTCCACAGTCCTACTCCCATCTCCATAACCCCCTCGAGCACAGGAAGTTATCGGCTAACAAGATTTCTTGGTTTATATACTTTAATCTGAAAGTTTTTCTTTTTTAGGACTAAATATCCAGCTCAGATGCAACCTTTTGTAGGTTGGCAGTAACAAATGTATAGAATAGCCTCACAATAGCAAGATTACCAGGTTTCCAGCCTGATCACTTATTGTACATGTATGCCCATTGCTGACATGCACTTGTCATTCGAATAGGTTGGCATCTTGTTGATTGTAATAATATTTCTTGGTAACTATGGTTGATAATCCCCTGTGTTTTCCATGCATTGCGGTTTAGAGTGGACTTCTTCACCCTACTTGAGCTCTTTAAAAATGTAATGCATCTAAATGTTTTGAACTGCTGTTCCGTTATGTTTGAGCCTAAAATGGTTTCAAATACTTACATTTCTTGTGTGTGCATAAAGAAAATGATTCAGCCCACTGGTTGGTCTAATGCTGTTCTGACCATTTATATCATGTAAGGTTGCTTTCTTCCCCCTCATGAAGGTAAGATGAAAATATGGGAGCAGTGTTCTGTAAACATGTCCCTCAAATTCTAGAGATCATAAAAGGAAATGTCTGTGTTCTTGCCTAGTTTCCTTTCATTGGGTAACACTCATTCCCTCTCTTCTTGCTCTTATTTGCTCATACAGTGCTTGCGCCTCCATCCACTCACTAGGTCCGCTCCCTGCTCCTCTTCATTGAGGAAATACTGTCCCTCTTGTCTATTCCTTTGGCCCAGCTACAACAGCTGAGGTCAGGACTACAACATGCTAAAATGTTATAACCTGATTTATATAGTATTATAACAGGTGCAGGAAAATGATGTGAAGAGGAAAAGGAAAGTTAAGCAGTCTGCTTTTTCTCATGCTTAATAAATCATTTTCCTAGTTCTGAAAGCTTTGTCCGCTGCACTGACTACTATCACATCTTATGGGCAATGCAACTATTTCCAATAATTTTATTTACTGACCTGGATATCTCAAATGGTTTGAGTGTTGTGCATATAATGCATTGGTTGCAGATACGGTCATTAAGTGGTTTAAAAGTAGACAGTTGTCACCAGCCCATTTGGTGTTTAGTGAGAGTGCTGATGGCCAACCCACCCAACAAGGGGTACTCGCCCTTCCAGGCTCCCTCGCTGCTTCCCGGTAAAGGAGTTCACCTTGAATACACTCTGGTGTCAGAGCTTACCTTAGTGGATGATGCCATTCCCCAGCATGTGACAGTGTTTGTGCCTGGTGATTGGCTACTAAGGGCATTAGCGCTTTCTCATGGGAGAGGTCAATTGTTCCCCCTATACCCAGAAGTCTTGCTCTGCTAGAGCATTGACCATAGTATATGACTGGAATGGGGGGGGTTTGTGTCAGCATATGGAACTTTGACAATCATTGTAAAACTTGCATTAGAAGAATGTGTAATGCACACTCGGGATACCTGATTGCTAAATTGTTATCCTGCCCTGGGTGTGGGAGGAAAGCAATGCAGTAGTTAAGTAAAATTTAGGCATGACTCTGCTATGTATATATTGCTTTCCAGGAATTATGGTCCCTCCTGTACCCAGAGTAAGCACACGTTTGGTCATAATTATAAATGTACATGATGGTGGCTGTTTACGTCTTGCATATCCATGATGCACATACTACTTTTTGTTCTGTACTGTGCAATGTGATGACCCCGTTCCTGTGGTAAAGTTTTTAAAGGCTAGCTATATCTCTAAAAGAAGAGAGAGAATACTTACCTATGCTGCTGTTGGACACCATTTCTTTCCTGAGAATTGACCATACAAAGTCTGCAGGGAAGCTGACCCCGTCTAGAAGGGTTGATCTCCTGCGTCCCCCTCTGTTGTGGTTCCTCCTGCTGACTTGTATGTCAACACTGTCTCCTATAGTGATGTGGAGGTCAAGAGGACGAACCATTGAGAGCTTTGAAGAACCAAGCCTATTGAAGTGCGGGTGATTTTATCAGGAATTGGAGCAGTGTTGGGCAGCAGGGTAGATAGAGAGTATTCCTTTTTTCACACTTATAGCTTGCCTTGAAATCTTTACTATAGAAATGGTGTCCCTGTAACTTACATCAAACAATACAATCTCTAGCTTCTTTGCCAACTGATTTTAGCTCAGGAGTCAAAGTTCCTAGACGGAATAATATGTTAAGAGCGGATGGAATCCCTCCCAAAGGCAATGTGAGAAGATGGCTCCATTTGACTGCCGTGCGTTACACATATTTCAGGTTTAACTATATACGGAGTGAACTTTCTGACTTGCAGTATTTACCAGAAAGCTTTAGCATCTCAGTGATTCTACTGGTTGCCTGGATTTGTTTTGTTAATCTGGTTTAATCTCCTCACCATACAAACATTACTACCAGGGTCCGCTTTTGATGAAACCCTCAGAAGCAAATTCTGAAGATTACATTGAGATTTACCTCCTAAAATTCTTTTTCAGTGATTATGCTTCTGTGCCTGTATGGGCTGTGACTTTTATCCCTTACCTTTTTGTTTGTTTTTGAAACAGCGATGTTCTCGCCCTGCCTATCTTCAAGCAAGAAGAGTCCAGTCTGCCTCCCGAAAATGAAAATAAGATTCTACCTTTTCAGTATGTGCTGTGTACAGCTACCTCCCCCGCTGTGAAGCTACATGAAGAGACCCTCACCTATCTTAATCAAGGTGAGACCTAGAGGCTATATATTCAAATCTCGCACAGCTCAGAGTCTTATCTCCTGGGTTGGACAGTAGACATTCAAAGATCTCTCTTGATAAAACTTAAGCAACCAACTTGATATGAGCACAATTTTATTTACTCACTTGACACTGGTCTTTTTACATAAGCTTGATTTGAGCTTTGCATCTGTTTTGTACTGCCTGTAACTTTCATGTCTTATGTAGACAACCTCTTGTAATGTTTTACAAGATCTGACTACATGGAGATCCTATCCTACGTAGTATAACAGCTAAGTATTGCTTCCGCTTTGCCACTGGGGGATATAGACTCTTTGTGTGTGTCAGCCTCTGCAGCTTTCAAAGTCCCCAACATTTACTCTTCAATGATTAAAGGAGAACTATGAGGTAAGTGATTTACACTCATCCTCATAGTTAGAGCTGACGTGTTACGTTAAAACTGTCATACGTCGACTCTATAAATCAGGAAGTGAGCAAACATACTACCGCTCGCTCACTTCCCAATCATCTCCCTTTAGAGAGGATTCCCCCCTCCCTTCTCCGATCCTACATCGCTGACTGGAGGAAGGGATGCCGGACGGGGTGGGCACAGCTGGCTCTGCCTCTAGATAGGCAGAGCCAGCTGCCACTCATGCAGCTGGGTGGCTCTCGACAGTATTGTCGGGATCCGTCCCGGCTGCGGCACTCTCGGTATATAGCAGGCAATAGCACGCTATATACTGAGTTTTTGGGTCACAGGAGGAGGTTAGTATATGTCCTCCCGTGACTAAAGAGAACTATGGGATAAAAGGGTTACCCCATTTATCTCTTTTAAGCTGAGAGAAAGTTAACATATTCCAGCACAAGACTAGCCACCTCCACATTCCAACTCCTTACTTACTCTGTTCCTGCATCTGTCCACAACTGCACCCCCACCACAGCATTGCATCTTCCCACTCAACTCATCCTCTCCGCTCCTTACCAATGCCTCTCTGGCCACATCCACTCCCTGAAACAGTCGTCTGCCCCTGGGCCATAAAGTGGGCTTCTGTTGATGCCTTTTCCGCTTGCCGGTGTTCAGTGCAGTTCTGCCCTTCCCTCCTTTGCTGTTCTGCACGAACCTGAAGACTCTGCACCATCAGGGTACTAAGCAGAGCTAGCACAGCAGTGATCGCTCCCTACTCCCGCAAAATAGATTAGGTGGGTGTAATAGACCGAATGTAGGAGGAAGTGGCAAGAAGGAAGATATGGAGAGACATGGAGCTAAGTTTTGAGGCTTGATGGGGGATTGACCACCACTTGGCATTTGTAGTGTACTAAATCATCCTCCGATTATATCATATTTTCAGTTTCCTTACAGTTAGGCAGCAGTTCGCCACTCACTACAAGGCACGGTCAGATCTGAATTTCAGTGAGTCTAATTCAGGGCCTTACAGTTTGCGTTTAATTGCTCATCAGCTGCCAATAGAAGAGCACTTGTACTGGAGAGATGGATAGGTAGATGTGGTGCTTGTCTATTCCAAGATTTGTAGAGGTTACTATACATTTAAAGTGCTGTGGTTTAAGCAACATATGGAAGCATCTGTTGCTTCCTTATTATGAAAAGTACAGGCTCTGTGGGCCATTGAACCTGGTTCACTACCCAACAAGTTACTGATCTGGAACAAGCATGCAGTCAGTAAAGTCTGAACTTTCATCCAGAATACTGGTTCCAGGACAGCCATACACAAAGTGAGTGTGGTTTATTAACCAGGAGTTCGGTTTATATTAGCACTTTGAGTCCCTTTTAAAATACCCTAAAGCTGCATTATTTTAAAAACTCCTATATGATGCTGCTTACTAGTGCATATTTATCTTTCAGCTATTTATAATCTGGAATAATCTGAATATAGTTAAAACCCATTTAAACGTTCACTATCGGCAGACCAATCTTGCTCTGATAAAGCTAGGCTTTAATACCACAGGGAGCCAATCCAAATTTGATGGATTATTTGGGGTGTGTACTTGCTCTCCAGCTTTTACAAAGGTCAAACCTTGGTCACAGTGATCACTGGACCATGCTCCATTGCCTAAACACTGCTGAAAATGTCAGTCACCGTATAAAGTGGAAATGGGCCTTTAAACAGTTTAAATACATAAATCTTTATAATTTGCAAAGAACATGTGATTCTGTGCATGAAATCTTGTATTTTACATACAGCCGTGTAGCCTATGTCACCTGTCTACCTCCAGCCGGCTCACCGGACATTACATTGGGATAATCAACCCTGTGCAGTGAATAGGGAGATCCAGGAGCAAGTAAGGCTCTGTTCACACATCACATTTTGATTTCAGCGCAGTTTTCCCACACGTAAAACCGCTCATATTTTAACATACGCTCAGTTTGTGGCTACTACTATAGCCGGAACACGTGGAAGTCGCCCAGAATATCACACTTGTACCTTTTTGTGCGATGCATGTTTTGTGCTGCGCGCATGACATGCAGGTGTGAACAGGGTAGATTAAAATGTATGGGGGTTTTGTTTTGCGTGTTTCCGCACAAACGAATACGTGTGGAAAAATGCGCAGATGCTTAAAGCTAAACCAGCAAATAGTGTTATATCATTGGTATGTAACTTGATGACAATTTTTTAAAAAAAACTCATGCTACAAAGTTGCCACGTTGGGCGTTTTTTCTGCTCGTTCCTACGCGATGTAAAACGCCCAGGTGGGAACCATGCCCATAGGCAATCATAGGTTTTCACATGTTGAGCGTTTTACAGCGCGTAGGAACGCGCTGCAAAACGGCAAGGTGGGAATCAGGCCTAAACAGTCTTTTTCCCAAATGTGTGTCGCATTGTAGCATCATCTGGGTAAAGGAGGAAAAAATGTATATTAATCTGAGTAATCACTAGAGGCTTTCTCGCTGCCTGTCATCTTCAATCAGAGATCTCAACATGTATGGCCACCTTTTATTCTTAGTCATTCAGACAATGTTAGTTCATCTTGTCTGGTAATAACAAATAAGTGTGCTTGGTACGAATACATTCTACATTCAATAATGGATTATTGCATTTACTCCTTGGCAGGGTCAGTCTTTTCTGCCTATATGCTAGATATTTCTGAAATGTTCTTTATCACAGCGCAGAACTGGCACATTCTTTCTTAGATGCATGGTGTGTAAGCATGAATTCCATTGTATGTGAATTAATACCTCTCTGCCCCCATGGAGTGCTCAGCTATTCACACATATATTGTGCAAGAACAGAAAGTTTCAGGACTATTGTAAACTTTCACCACCTCTAGTGTACTTTAGTTCACTTCTTCTTTCTAGAATGATACATAAATATATCAAGCAAAAAATGTCACCTAATTGTGCCATTTACAGATGCATTGAAAACATGTTACTCTTGTACCCTTGGAGTGCTCCCCTGTCTTGCAATTAAATTAATTTTTAGAAGTTTCATCTCTAACTGTATTTTCCTTCCACTTAACATGGGAGAGTAGAAGCTGGAATCTTGCATTATGTAACACCGCCTGTCTTTAGAAGTCATACTGAAGTGCAATCTTTACACTGTAGGATGTGGTCTCTTTCATTTATTCGTCATCTGCCAAAATGTTTAATACAAACATTTATTTCTGCTTTCCACAGGTCAGTCCTATGAAATCAGGATGCTGGACAATAGAAAACTAGGAGAACTACCGGAATTAAATGGCAAATTAGTTAAGGTAGGTTTAACCCTTTCACTGCCATGGTAATGTTTTTGCTTTTTTTTTTACACGTTATAATCCACATTTTAGGCCTGAAAATTACTTAAACCTCGGTTATTTATTACCTGAAAGTACAGACCATATAGAATAAAATGGCAGTTATAAATTTGTATGTTGCGTGATAATAGCTCAACTCTTTATGCAAGGACTTTTCGGGAATTATATTTCATAACAGAAGCACAAAAGTAATTCAAGTCATTCTCTCAGCAGCTCATCTCACCTTGCTGCCTCCTCCCAACAATGACTACTTCTCTAATGTAAGCAGATATATACACAGAGCAGGTGGTCTCAGAAAGGGGAACAGATTGAGCTGAGAACCAACTTGAATGACTTTGGTACTTCCATTGGGAATTTAGCATAGAAAATATGTTGTTGCAGTTTTAATCTGGATTGATTGTTTTTCTTCCTGCAGAGCATCTTTCGGGTGGTGTTCCATGACCGGCGACTGCAGTACACAGAGCATCAGCAGCTGGAAGGCTGGAGGTGGAACAGGCCTGGGGACAGAATACTTGACATTGGTAATAAAATGAGTAGACTTGCATTTGTATGAACCTGCATGCCGTGTGTTTGTTAAAGAAAGTGACAGGAAAACTGTAGCCACTATTTGTGGATATTGTATTGTTCAAAATGTGAAAAAGTGAACATACCCACAGCACCCTGCCACCTCACCCAGGCCCCCCTGCACTTACATGTCTGAGGATCCTGCCAGCCGGTGTAGCGGTCCGTAAACCAGACTTCTCAGACCCCCGCATCTCTACTATAAAAAAAAAAGGAAAAACCTGTCAGAATTTTTGAGCAGCTTTCCATTTTATCAACCATCAATGGAGGAACCAGAAGTCTTGCTGCAGCAAAAGCGGTAGAAATGATTGTGGCCTGGGAAGAACTTTACGTTCCATCCTTGTCCACTGTTGACATTCCAGGTATGGACAATTGCCAGGCACGCTACCTCAGCCGGCAGTGATTGGTGGGGGACACCAGGTGCAGATGTGGCCTTCCAGGTCGAACAACAAATTTCCCAGGTTTTTTTTCAGGTGCAAAGATCTTGTGGTGGCTCCATGGAATTATCACTGCCTGATCTATGGCTTTGCTTCTCTAAAACTCCTTCCTTGTCTGCTTCGCAGTGTTGAGATGGAGGGCATTTCAGTGGATCTACCATTGCACATGGAAGGCATATTCTCCCAGGTGCGAGGAAAGACATTTTTACCCCAGTAATTACTCTGGGAATAGCCTGACCATTCTGCAATCAGACTTTGATCAGCTTTAGGGTCCGAGAACCATCAAAGAGCAAAGCTCGGCTCTTGGAAACTGGATTGCAAGACCACTTACCTCCTATTCATTGCTTAACATTTTTGTACATGGTTTCTCTCGTGAATCCTTCGGTGCAATCACGCATGACTCCCATCAGTTTTGAATGCGGTTCTGTTGCCACTTAAAAAAGCGCCCTTTGAAATCATCAGGGGTATTCACCTTTCCACTTTCATATTGCTTTCCTTGTTGCTGTCACCTTTGCGAGACATGTGACTGGGCTGTCACATTTTTCCTGTAGAGAACCCTCTCTGATCTTACACAAGCTAAAGGTGGCAGTGAGGCCTAGAGCCTCCTTTTTCTAAGGTGGTTTCAGCCATTCACTTTAACCAGGGCATTGTTTTTCAATCTCTGTTCAGCTTTAGTGCATCAGAAGGAAACTTCCCTTCACTGCCTGAGTGAAGTATGTGCTATGTTGGTTTTCCTCTTAGCCACTGCTTCTATTCAAAAGGCTGACACTCCCCCCCCGTAAAGTGAATAAGCTCTTTGCGCTACCATTTTTCTGTGGCTCAGACAGACGGTTGGTGTCTCTTGGCCTTTTTAGCATCAGACAAGTGTTTCCTGGATTCACAAGGCCGCTACCTGCTCTTCTGGCTCACGCATTCTTTTAATTGTACCAGGGCACAGTGCTAAACATATCCCAGGAGCCTTAAAAATTACAGCTGGGCTTCGTTTTGAGGTTTTCTCTGTCAGTGAAGCTGGCTTCTAAAAAAAAATAAAAAAAATTGAAAAGACTAACTCCTGAATTTCGTATTAAATTGTCAACCTTCTGAATAAGGGACAACGGTCTCACCCCTCTGTGTTTTTTTGACTTTACTCATAGTGCTACTTTTCTACAAAACTGAGGCATCCTGGGGATGGCAGAGGTTATACCAGACCCCTTTTTGTTTTGTTTGCTTGAGTCCAAATCCTCCTGTAAATGCCAGTGTAATGCTGGGCACACACCTTACAACCGTACGTTAAAAAAACGTACGATCTGCCTATCTTGGACAGGCAGATCGTACTTGCGATGATCGCAAGCCGCACCCCCCAGAGGGGCGGGCTTCCGATGACCGCAATGCCGAACGGGCAGTGTGCGCTTGAAAGGTATTATTTGTCATGTACAAAGCTCCAATTTCCCATAACGTCTTCCAGGACAGCATCATCTCCTCCCCCCAAACACAGGAAACACGTCACCCAAACTCAAAAGATCCGCCTCTCCTCCAGTCCCTCAGTCTTTTGTGTTTCCTCAGTCAAGCTGGGTAGCGCGTCACAGAACGCTGAGAGGGGATTCCATGTAGTGATGCTGCCCGGGAAGTCTTTTTCTCTAAACTGCCTCTGTAGTGCAGATTGGTGTAGGTAGGATTCCTACCTGTTTGTTGAGCCCCAGTGATTCTCCTAGCGCTATCAGGAGTTAAAACTGACTTCCCTTTCTGCTTCAGTGCCCAGTGAGGGCCGGGACCGGGATGAAAAACCCCCTTTGGCTGGGTTATGGGTAGCAGCATACTAAACCAATATGTGTTTACAGTGAAAAGCTGAAATGCCTGTATTGGAGTAATGCAGACAGTAAATAGCCAGCAGAGAGATCATTGTTCAGGACTGGCTTGAGGATACCCAGCATTGAGCAATTTTTATCCCAGTCGATTGCCCTTTTATTTGATTTTAGTTTTAGATCATGGAGGCTTGTGTGGACTTTAGTTAGGGGAGTATACGTATAAATGCACCCTGCCTGGGATTTCCCACTTCTCTGGACTAGCATCCACCCATTGGTAAGTTGAATGTTTGCATAACACTACCCAAGAGCTAGCCCACTGCTTGCACCAGGGTTAAGGGGCTAATTCCCTTTCAGAAACTCGGGAGTGAAGAAGTATTGTCGGCACTGCTCATTGTATACTCTGGCCTTAAAGTTAAAAATTGACTATCAGCTGGCCAGTGAGATTGATTTTTTTTTTTTCTCTTCCTTTTACCAATATACAAAGTTCAATTTTATCAAGTCTAAAAAAAAGTGGCATCCCAAAGTAGAAAGTGCTGAAGACATATCTATATTTCTTCATATTCAGCATGTAGAAACTATCTTCTTCTATTGTATAAAAAAAAAAAGCCAGTTGCTATAACAAAACAAAAAAAGAAGGAATATAATGGAAGTGTTTTAGTAACGAACGAGCAGCATTTTAGCACTGCACCTGTATAAATGTGCCCATTGTGTACATTTCAATGTTTTAAAATCGTGAATTTTTTCCACTTGTGTTATCCCAGGATACAAAGTACATTTGATAAAATTGTATATAATTGTTAAATACTTTGCCAGATTGAAAAGTTGGCCTGTAACATCTTAACACTAATACCTTCATGAATTTGATATGTATGCAATGTATTGACGCCAGTTTCCTTACAATAGTAGTATTGTGCTGTGTGTTCCTGATGAATGGATTATAAGGTATCTCTTCTTTTGTCTTTAACCTTAGATATCCCAATGTCTGTGGGTATAATTGACCCACGAGCAAATCCAACACAGCTTAATACTGTTGAATTTCTTTGGGATCCTTCAAAGAGGACATCTGTATTTATACAAGTAAGACTCCCAGCTATCTGTTCTCTTTGCCATTTATTGAACACTACCTTATCTTCATTCCTGACCATATTCATGTGTACTAAGGGGTCCATTGATACTGCTCTCTACTGAATCCTGCAAAGTTTACTCCATATTGCACTGGCATTTTATGACTAATTCATTATATACAAGTTACAGTGTTGTGCGGATCATTTTCTTCATAACACTGACTTTATCATAAAGTAACATAAGACTTGTACAGATCATGCAAGCAGGCTCTCCTCCTTCCAGGACTTTTTTTGCTCATTCTTGTAGAGAACACAGCTGCAGCATGGTCTCTGCAAGGCCATACCACTTCTTTATAAATGCTTCCACTAGTGATAAGTTTGTAAAGCTAGTAGATTCAGTTATAATGCACTAAACGACTGTTTCCATATTCCCCGATTGTTCAGCTCAGCTGCCTCACTCTTTAGCTTGTGCAGAGAGGTAGTTCCTAACAAGTCTATAGGCAAGGTAAGGTAGCATTCAGGCTGCTCCATGTCCCTGTGCAAAGGAAAGCTTCTAATGGATTCAGCAAGAGTAGTTTTATGAATTTTTGTGTTTACCATGTCGGCACTGCCATAAGGTGTGGCAAAAGAATAATCATTTGACTACACTACCAGCACATTCACAATTGAGCATCCCATAACTGCTGCACAAAATAAGATTACCGGACACAAATGTGTGGACAGATCCTTACACGGGGTTAGATGCTTTCATATCTGTGGTGAAAAAAAAATATATATTTTCCCCTCCTTTTTAACCCTTTGTCTGATTTTTATAGATGCGTGTTTAAATTCACGTATTGAATATTGCTCACTACCTGTGCTGCAAATCTATTCCAGGCATCAACAATTTATTGGAAAATACCACTTTCTAAGGTTCATTTTGGACGTTCCTCTTGGTAGCTTGAGGTCTTGTCCCAATGTTCCTGATCCATGCTTCACATTGAAACAACAACCCCTCCAAACCTTATTTGTGCCCTTAATGTATTTGAAGATTTCAAAAATGCACTTCTTACCTCAGGACGGTAGATATTAAGCTGCTAGTACAGAGCTGTACACCATTAATGACTGGTCCCTGTTACAAATTAACCCCATTTGCACACATACGCTGTATTTTTAGCCAACTATGTATGCACGGAACCACTCAAGGGTTAAACCCTAGCTTGTATGACTTTTTCATGTCAATATATAAAATCAATATATGCCATGGCCACAGTAGGTCTCTGCTTACAGACCTAGGGCAGTAGGTCTTGATTTGGTTTCATATTCCACTCGGAACTCCCACTCTGAGCTCCGTTTGAAGAGACCCTGTTAAGCGGTAAGAAACATGACAGAAGCAGTACTCTGTAAAGAAAAATTCTTTATATTTGACAAATCTTTGCTTTGTAAGCAGAGCCCCCAGTTCCGATCCTATTCTACTTTTTGGACTTCTCTAATAGCGGGTCCCCCCGCTGGTGTCTTTTAGTTCCTCCTGCTGATCCATAGTTATTGCAGTACACAGTAGTAATGCAGGGATCATCGGGAATTACCACAGCGACCAGTGCGGGACACGCTATACAACACATCTCAAAGTGGGGAATAGGATTGGCACCGGGAAGTTTTTGCAAACTGGGCAACAGAGACGGGTACATATAAAGCTGCTTTCTGTAAAAGGTACTGCTTTTGGTATTTCTTTTTAACGCACTGAAATTAAAAGTTTATTTGCCAACATTTTGGGTGCATAATCTTTAAAAATAACTACACCATTTATTAACTGTTTTAGAGAAGCTGAATTTGGTGAATGTGAACAGAATCCTGGTTTTCTATTAGATTGGAGATTATTTGTCTTTCTTTTTCTGTAGGTACACTGTATTAGTACAGAATTTACCATGAGGAAGCATGGGGGTGAGAAGGGTGTACCCTTCCGAATCCAAATAGATACCTTCAAAGAGAATGATAATGGAGAGTACACAGAGCACCTGCATTCCGCCAGCTGTCAGATTAAAGTCTTCAAGGTAAGTTGTTTTTGTTTTGTTTTTTTTAAAATTAGCAGCATTTTAAATCTGCATTGTTTGGGTCTGTCTTTAAGAATGAAAACGGTAAACCTGTATACATTTTCAGTTTGTTGCACAGTTGTTTCACATTCTGAAAACCAAACTAGGCCAGTGTTGTGTAAAGTTTTGCTGAAGAATGTTCTCCTTTTACTTTTCAGTATTTTACTAATATCTTCTGTTCCTGAGAATTTTTAGGGCTATATCATTTGTATTGCTACCATTGTTTTATCACATGTTCATTGACAAGGATTCTACTACTATTTCACTTTGAATATGATTTTATGGATTGTATATAGCGCTGTTCGATAAACAGGTGGGAGGCATTGAGCTGGTCCGTGCACACTGAAAACAGATGCTTTTGTGTTTACAGGTTATTTTGGCCACGTGTCCACACACATTATCGAGACCCTGTTGCCAGACCATTCATTTCAAAAATGATATTCCCAGTAGATTTTATGTGAATTTAGTGTATTTCAGGAATGTTATTTACCTGTAAAAACATCCCTTGTGTAGACATCCAAAAGCCCTGGGCCTGCTGCTGAACACCTTCCTAGCTGTGATGTTGGCAGACTTGGAGCTGTCACTCACGCAACCCTCTTCAATTCCACTTCACTCCTCCACTGGCAGCTACATAAAAGGTTATGTAGGTGGATTAGAGGAGAGTAGGAGGAGAAAGGTATTGGGCACTTCCAGAAGAGAAGGAGGCTATGATGTGCAAGGAGTGAGTGGGCTGCATTAAGGAATTGACACTTTTCGAGTAGTTACATTTTCTAGCAAATTTGTAGGCACAATTTTTAAGTCTCTTAAATTGTTTATAGAAAGCAAAAACGCTGCATGTACGCTTCTAAAATACTTGAATATTCTGTGTTTCTACCTGCAGTTTTTGAAGGTGGTGACAGGGTCTCTTTAACACTATTACTTGTGAGTCATATGTGCGTTACCAATAGGTTGACCTTATTCTACCTGCCAATTATCCCCCGAGGGTTTTGTCACTTGTCAAGGTATTTCTAAAAGCTATGAACTCAGTCCATCAGCTTAGGATCCATGGATAGTTCGGACATTTGCTTTGTAATGTTAAGAGATTTAAATCTCATCTCATTTTACAAATGGTTTTGTCTGTGAAAGGCACACGTTAACATGGGTGACAAAAGCAGGAGAGAAAAAGAGAGCTTTAAAGGAGAGCTATGAAGTGAGTGATTTCCACTCATCCTCATAGTTAGAGCCAAGCTGACAAATAAGCTGTCACATGTCGGCTCTATTGATCGGGAAGTGAGCAGAAACATGCAGCGATCTGCTCACTTCACGATCGTCTCTGCAATGAGCAGGGACTGTCAGTAACCGCAGGCATTCCCCCCCTCCGATCCTCCAGTGCTGGGTGGAGGAACGAACGGCGGAGGGGGCGGGCACAGCTGGCTCTGCCTCTAGATAGGAAGAGCCAGCTGTCACTCGCACAGCTGGGTGGATCTCGCCCGTATTGTCGGGATCCGTCCTGGCTGCAGCGCCATCAGTATTGCCTGCGATATACTGAGCTTTGGGTCACGAGAGGATGCTAGTAATATGTCCTCCCGTGACCCTAAAGAGAACTATGGGGAAAAACACTTACCCCATAGTTCTCCTTTAAACGTTAATATTGCATTAGCTCTAATAGTTACCTGCAGACAAGTTGAGATTCAACTAGGCCGGGAATTCCTCGGCTTCTAATCACGTTTATTGGCTTGGATACCCATGCTTCACGCCAGCAACTCATAATGGCTAAATCTAGGAAATTCTCCTTCCTATGTGATTACAACTGGTTTGTCAACTATTCTACAGAATCACTCCATTCTTGCCAGACTTCAGCTTTTGGCCTTGGGTGTTTTGTCTTCATTTGAATATAAATGGCATTTCTCCAGCCTTCAACTGCAGTAAATTGACTCTTTTCTGTCAAGTGTGTGGAACAAAGGCACTGTACTGGCATCTGTAATGGGAACTGTTCATCTCCCCCCTACCTACCTATCTGCCTGCTGTGCATGAAAGTTGCATGCTATTAATGGGTGGCTCCTTCTCTATATACCATGCATAAACTTTACTTCTGTGGAGTTATTTCCTGCTTTTTTAAAAAGCACACTTATTTAAATTAGGTAAAGGGGTCAGTTTTGTATCACCAGGTATCCTCTGCTTAAGCTGTTTTTTCATCAAATGCTCATGTTTTTATTTCCTAAGTTTGGGATAGGTTCCCTTTAACAAATTGCATTCATCCTTGAACTATCTATAATGTCCCGTACAGGTCATATTGGCAGCTTTTGGGCACCATATAGCAGTTCCTTCTTAAAGCAGAAATAGTCCGCTATACTCTTCCCCCCTCCTATCACTTCTTCCAGTGATGCAATGTCCATGAGCTCGCTCACTGACACCAACTTCTTCACCTGGATGTCTTTCAAGTTTCACCACCTTCTTTATTGGCTCACCCTGTAGGACCCAATTGCTTCACACAGGAGTTGATTCATCCAGGCCCCTAGGTAGGCCACAATTGCACACTGAGTTGCACCTGTGCAGCTCAGTGTACATTCTAAAAAAAAGTTTGCAAACAGGAAGGTGAGAAACTTATATTGTGGAAGGGACCTGGTGGGAGGAATTCACTAAATCAGTTGCAACACTTTTTTTTTTTCAGATGTGCAACACTTTTCTGATGTTAGGGTCCCTTTACAACAACCTGGGTACAATTCATAAAAGCCTTGCGATAGTTTTGGTTCTAGTTCCAACATGTGCAGCAGACTCTAACTACTGCCAGTTTACAGATTTAGGAAACTGGAGGTAATTAGGACCAACTCTGAGTGGCGCACAGCGAGACACCAGTGCAGTGTGGGGTATCTGTGTGCTGGGAAGCTGTTATGAGTGTGTGTTTCCTAGTCCTCAGCAGAAAGCTATGACGCCAGCCGGGAGATTCCCCAGCTGGCAACTAAATGTAATCAAAGTAGCCAGGGATGCTGGCTGACCTCATTACCCAAACACGACGGCTCTATGGGCCTTTGGAACCCACCCACAGCCGCTTTTGAGTCACTAGGGAGACAGACCTGACGGGGGATCTAGTGTCTCGACTTTCCTGCCAGCCCCTACCCACCCAGCAGCACTACACCTCAGATGTTGCTTTTGTGTAAAAGCTGCAGTGGGCAGGAAGCTCAATAATGCTGAGTCTGTGATTTAGTCAGGCTCAGCGTTATAGAGCTGCACTGAGGACAGAGTATCAAGCATGGTCATTCCAGCCTCCTCGCCGGCTTCGATTTATGAATCCATGGGGACAGGTTAATGTACATGTTCCTGACAGGTATGTGAATCTGTCGCTAGCTGCAACATGTGTTGCACAGACAGATGCTAAAATGTATATGTGTCTACGACACTCTAACAATTCCAGGGAGTATGTCTCTTCTGCAATCAAAAGCCTTCCTACTAGCATTTTTTTTCCTTAAATTAGTATTAAATGTTCAATTAAAAAAATGACTACAGATCAAACAAATATACACTGCCCAGCAAAATATTTCATTTATTTTTTGCAAAAGAACTTGAATATCATGTTTCCGAATAGCTGCCTCCAACTCTCTCAGCTGGTTTTCTGAACTTCCTGTTGAGTACAAGAACAGTCTCCAGCAGCTGAACATCTAGATTGGAGCAGAGGAGTAGCTTGCTCTGCCTGTGTGTTTGAGGAGGCATACACAGCTTATTAGCACTTGTAAGGATGGCTCCATACAAATCTGCAAGGGAAAGGAGTCCCCCTAAAAAAAGTGGTCAGTGCTCAGGGGAACAGCTGATCCTGCAGGAAGCTAAAACTTTTAAACATCAAAGAGCAGCTTTCATTGTAAGTGATTTATTCAGCATTTTAAATTACTTTAAAAACCCTTTTGACTTTAATATCTAGAGCAACAGCTAACGATTATTTTCAAAATCGATTAGTTAGCTGATTATTAAGTTCGATTAACCGGTTAATCGGGATTTTTTTTTAAAAAATGGCTCCAGTGATGGACTTCTAGTTTGTATTGAGATTGTAGTCCATCACAGGAGCAAGCTTGGAGCGGTGGAAGTTTAAAAAAAAAAAAAAGTGGTGTGCAATATAGTGAAATGGAAAGTGTAAAATTATACAGGAATCAATGCAGAATGGCATCGGCTATAGAGGACTACAAAACCCAGCAATAATACATTATACAGCACAATGGAGAATACCATCCGCTATGGATAAATACAACAAATCCCAGCAATAGTGCAATCTGCATTGCGCTGTATAATGTATTATGGTTGGGATTTGTTGTATCCCTCTATAGCTTGTGGTATTCTGCATTGCGCTCTATAATGTATTGCTGGGATTTGTTGTACTCCTCTATAGCTGGTGGTATTCCGCTGTATAATGTATTATTGCTGGGATTTGTAGTCCTCCATACAGCGCAATGCAGAGTAACACCAGCTATATAGGAATACAACAAATTCCAGCAATACATTTATACATACAGTGTATACAACACAATGTAACATCGGCTATAGAGCAATACAAATCCCAGCAATACATTATAGAACGCCATGTGTGGGAAAGTGCAGGCTTACCTGAGCAGTCTTCCAGCAACTTGCTTCTGAGATAGGGCCTGTCTGTCGGTGGCTGTCATCCTCCCCATGCCTGCTTACTTTTTCTTCTCACCGCGCCGATCGTGGATGTTGGCGGGGGGGGGTTGAGTGTGAGGCATGGAGGAGGTGAAATGTATGTATGGCTTGTTATTGTTATATACTATTTAGATTTTATTAGTAATTGTTTTTTTTTATTAACATTATATGCCAAGACATGCAACAGTAAAATGTCTGGACCCGTGGGATTGTGTTTATAAGAATGCGTCTGTAAAATTTCTGGACCTGTACATGGGCAGTAGCCTGTGAGATGCCTGGACTCCCTTCACACATGTATGTGTTTGATTCATGTGCAGATCAAGGTCAGAGGGGTGACCCTTGATTTGCATAGGATACCAGTATAGAGGGCTCGTTTACAGCAGCCCATATGCATTATGCCAAGGGTGGACACATTAATATGGAATTGAGGAGTCAGTCTATTCAATCCAGAATCCAGCTAGAATTTGTTTTTTTTTTCTTTTTTTAGGTGCCAGTTCCATTGCCAATAACTGGAGAAAACCCCAAATGTTGTGTTCCAGCTGTAATTTGTAAGGAACATTGGCTAACTGACTCCTGGGATTTGTTTAGCCCTGCAGTTTATTACATGTTTATGCTGGTGTGCATTGTGAGGGGTAGTGTGATGCTTTGTTAGAAACACGTCACACTGTTTACTTTTTTGAAATGTCAAAAAATGACATTTAATTCTAGTCTATGCATCCCAGTTCATTGCTATGTGCTATGTTGACATGTGTTGTGCTGCTTAAAAATGTAGAACACAAAGTATATCTGCATGCAGGGGAGAACAGCCTGTCCTATCTGATGGTGTACCTTGGAAAGAATTCAGACTGGGGCAGCAGCATTCTGGGCCATATAAAAAGGCAGTATGTACAGTATGTAGGTACAGTATGTACCTGGAAGAAGCATTTTTATAGCAGCCATTTAATATGTGGTCTGTGGACAGAGAAATCTTTTTATAATAAATGTATCAATCAGTAGGTCAGTCACCTTACATAGTTGTACTTTTTAATTTTAACTTTATTATTGGGACTGCCTCTTGCTACCTGCTGTTTCCTCATATAGGGTTCCCTTTTATCTACCATTGCTTCTTTTTCTCTTGTGGTGGAGCAGGCACAGGTGCTACGCAGATAGGTCGGCATTGTGGAGTTTTCTGTTCTGTCACTGCTGGTCGCTTTAATAACAAACAGATTTTGTAGTTTAAGTGTAAGCCCAAAAGATTCCTTTTCCTGGGGCCCTTCCTGACCTTGGCTCAAGAACAGTGTTAGTTACGTGAGGAATTTATTAAGCATGCCAGAATTTATTAATTTAAACCATGTGTGTTAATGTTGCTTTAAAGATCATGACACTGCTTTAAGTTGTAAACCTGTTTAGCAACTGTTTTCACTGCAGTTCCCGGTAACCATTTACCTACTTGGAAACCTAAAAACGGAAGGTAATAAGTGCCTTACAAAATAAACAGGGAGCTTTTAAAAACACTCCATAAACATAAAAAAACTAGTATACCTGCATTATTACCTGCAGTTAAAAGGCATTTATTGGGAAGGTAAAAAGCATTTATAGGTATGTTTAATGATTCAGGAGCTTGTGAAAAGTGAAGATAATTTAGATGCTCGCTCTGGTATTTGGGAGACTGCTATGCTACACACAGCTCAGTTCCTTTTCCTTCTGGTTTTCCTTTGAAAGGCATTGTAAGCTGTCTGGTCAGTTCCCATGTGCCTAAAATATCTGACAACATAAAACCATGCGTTATGTTCCTCTTCACAGCAAATGCAGCTATACTGCTAACTATTTCCGATTTTGTACAACTTGGAAACTTCTTCAGTCATGTTAGTGAATAGCAGTTTAGCACTATTGGCTTTTTTACATAAAGGTAATTAGCATGATTTATTTTGAGTCCTCATTTTATATTGCACACAATCCTTGCTTGAGTGTTAAATTTTTCACTGTCATGTAACTATTCCTTTTGCTTTCCTGCCTTCTAAACATTAGCCAAAAGGAGCAGATCGAAAACAGAAAACCGACAGAGAAAAGATGGAAAAGAGAACCCCTCAAGAGAAAGAAAAATATCAGCCATCGTATGAAACGACTATCCTTACCGAGGTAATCATGTTTAGGTCTAGGCTCTGAAATGCTGGGGATGTGATATGTTGTTCACACATCCCAATCACATCTTTGTCAGGGTTAAAATAAATACAGCTGTTAAATTGCATTTCCTTTGCAGGGAAAACATAGCACAGGGATGTACTCTTATACAAAACGATACTTTGATAGCCAACTCCAGGTTATTTCACGATCTCCTAGTGTGGCGTTTAGTAGCGTTGGGGCCAAACTTAAACCTTCAACATGCTGGCCAGTAAAACACTAGTTACTGCAATGCACAAAGTGGAATGCCTTGATTTGCCATTTATTTTCAGTGGCAACCTAGAGAACTAATATAAGTGCCTTTAAAAATACTGCAGCAAAGCATGTAAAACACTTTGTGCTGTTACCTGCAGTTTAACCCCTTAGGGACACTGCTTCAGAAATGTTTTCGTTCCTTGGGACCGGAGCAATTTTTCCATTTTTGCTATGCGTTTGCTTAACCATAATTTTTATCTCCCTCATTCATTGCACCTACACATATTGTATACCCTTTTTTCAATGACAAAATGGCCTTTAATTTGATGTGACAAATGCATATATAAATTTTTTTCGTGGTTTTTTAAAAAAAAACAACAAATTTTTCAATTGTGGCAATACTAATGTGTACATAACTAGTGTAGGTAACGGAAAAAAATTCATAATACATTATTTTTTTTGTCCTGGTTTATAGGGTACAGTATATCATATATGTTTGGAATTTCCATTTATTTTGGGAATTATAGGTAACAAAATACAAGGAGGGAAATACAATTTTAGCTTGGAACAATTTTATAATGTGGTATGTTTTGTCTCCTATCTTTCCTAGCTTCCTCATCACTATATTTTCTTATTTTTTTATTAAATGTACTAGGGGGTGCACTGTGGGTTTTTTTTATTTTATTTACAGGGGGTTTGATACCTCGTATCTCTGAGGAGAATAAAGTATTCTCCTCATATACTTTGTATCAGTTTGTAACATACAGCCGGCTAGCAGCTTACAAAACACAGTGAGCGTCTGCCACCTCTGTTGCTGTCACGGCTCTGTAACTACAGCTATCGCTGTGACCACCTAATCTTCTGTTGAGGGTCTGTCTTGGACCCATCGCGGCAGTAACTAAGAGTGCTGATCCCTCAACGGACCAGTGCTCATTGTACCATATGACTGGACTATCCAGTTGCCGGTCATTAATGAACTGAACGATCAAGACGGGATAATCCCGTCATCGGTCAGAAAAGGGTTCAGCTGGTGACTATCTTTATTATGCTGTGAAAAGTGTGTAATGTGTTCTCTTGCTATTCAGAACACACACAGCTGTCAGTCACCGCCCTTGCTTTGTGCATGGTCAGAAGAGCCTGTTACCCTTACAAGTAAACAGGTTCTCCAAGCCTGTCTTATTGAAAATCCCAGAATGCTTGGCAAATAGTGTTGTGAAAGCACCCTTTATTAACTTTTCCATGCCAATAAATGTCTTCATACACATGCTAGAAACTTGTATAATTAAGTGGGCCATACAGCAGGCAATTTGTGGCCAAATGGCGGGACTGACCTGCCAGTTGTCTTCCATGGTTTGGCTGTAATATGTTGGAGACAGTAGATGATGATATGCTGTTTTTGCTAATGTCAGATGTGTGAAATTAACACAGGTCCTTCTCTTCACCTAAATCGGGCACATTTGTGTGCAGACAAGGAGAAACATGCAAACGTCTGACTGGTTTTTGACTTTCTGTTACAGTGCTCTCCATGGCCAGAGATCTCTTATGTGTCAAATGCCCCCTCTCCTGGATTTAATAGTTCACACAGTAGTTTTACCATTGGGGAAAGGTAAGTTGTTCTCTTGTGTGCATGTGGTTGGAAAATAGTTACTATGCCAGCTTGGTAAAGAGGATTGCTGTAGGGCTGGATTTCCACCTGTGTGTTTCTATTTAAATGAATACATGGGTCAACGCACACTTAGCCCTATTATAAAAAAAACAAACTAACAAAAACCTACTGTGCTATTGTTTGGTATGCAGAATATGCCTCTGATTGTGCATTTTGATCTTCTGCCTCAGAAAAGATTATTTACCTGCAACCAGCAATTCCATTCATTTACAGACTGTATAAAGCCAGAATTTCCAAACCAGAGGTTGTCATGGTTAAAATGTTCTATACTTAATTCTGTATGCGCCTATTTTGTGTCATCAAATCCATCTATCTTAGTGGTGCTCTGAGGGTGCCTTGGGTTTAGTTATGGTTTCAAATCTACTTTTGCGGCAGTATTGGGTTTTCTTTCTTTACTATAGCCATGCGTAAAATCACGTGAGGCAAGTATGTTTGCTGCTACTTTGTGACTATTATTACTATGGTCCGTGTCCTCGTAGAACAATTATACCACAGATCATGGTTATCATTTTTATATTAAAAGGCAATACAAGAGGTGAGGACAAGGAGGATTTATCCTTGTGGCCTTGGTCTCTGTTACACAAAGTGATGAGCAATACAAAATTCTTCGAGCCTGTGTCAACAAGCTTTGGCCTTGTGTCAATTGCCTCAGATTGAAATGCTTCGGAGAATCATTTAGAATTCATTGATAAGTGCATTTGACCTCCTTTAAACAGGTTTTTCAAAGCTTATTGATCCAGGCCCCAGAATTGTCTCAGAAATGGGAACAGAGGGAAGATGTTCTGGTGAGAGCTTGCCTTTCTTTGGAGAGATCTTCTCTTAAATCCTTCTTTGTATCTGGGACAGGAAGTAAAGGAATATCTCCCCAGTGAGAGCAAGTAAAAACCAGACTGGGTTTTTAACCATTCACTACTTTTCCAAAACTTCTAAATTTGGCTTTACATACTTTTTAAGCTGAAGCCGTTCTATAAAACAATCAGTAGAAGTTAGTGGCTAGATGTAAAACTCCTAAATTGAATCAGTAGCATGCTGCAACTCCTGCTAGTCAATTAGCAGGTGTCATGTTATATGTTTAGATTTCTCATCATTCAGGTGCCACTCAGTCTATTTTTCTTTTACACCTCAATTCATGTTAAACCTGTTTATCCGTATAGAATTGGTTAGCACTGTACCACTATGGCACCTACAATTGGCCTTTTGAGATCGTCCTTGCTAAATTGGACTACAGTCCTCATGTCTATAGACGCCAGTAGAAAACCCTGGAAAATCTTGAAAGGGGTGTGATCTCCTCTGCTCTCTGCCCTTTCCGGTTGTATAGTCATAAAAAGTATACATGTTGCAGTGATTGTGCATTTTTGGGAGACTATTGCCAATTCCCATGCTTTATAAACTTCCTGCTTAACGGTTTTTCACATTTTAATTAATTTGTTTTTCATAGTAATGGTTCTCCAAATCATCAGCCAGAGCCCCCGCCACCAATCGTTGATGTAACTGCAGGATTGACGCCCATACAGGTACAATTCCCAAGTTATGGAATATAAACGGCTCTGTTTCTCCCTTGCACTTAGTGCACAAGGTTCCCTGTATGAACAGGGCTGCACTAAATGATTGTCAGCTGAGGAATTGGCCATATACAGTATTTTAGCATAGTTTTACTTGTCGTGCAGTGTTTGAATTCGGAATACGTTGGGGTTAAGAAAATATGTAAATGTTACAACTTCATGAAATACCCCGAGACGTTGAGTTAATTCTAAAGCCAAGCATTGTGGTTTTGGGACAGCAGTTCAGACATGGTTTGGCAAACTTTTAAAACAAGGTGACAGGTCTTAATCATTGTGTTGAAGTTTTACACCATGCATTTAGCTGTTGTACTTTTCAGGTGGTATATAACCTAAAGTGCACCTGTGCCCGGACTATGGACATTACATATTAACAATCAGTCATAGGGCTTTAAAACAAGCTATCACTGATCTTTCAGACTAAAAGCAATTCATTCTCAAAGGTCATCACAGGGACTCTAAGGGCCTGATCACCCTGGCAGCTGCCACCATTACAGCGCATCGCACTGTAAATGAAAAAGGTGATTCTAAACGAATTTCCCTTTACTGCAGTGCGTTTCAGCACAACATGTTTTGCTGAAACAAGGACTGCATGTCCTATCTTGCACATAAATTGTCTTGTCTGTGCATTAGTACTGCATCTGATGTGAGCGGGCCGTAGAGATTTTAGTTATTTTGTTTTTTTTACAGCTAAAAACACCTGCTGTGTGTTTTACATTACAGGTCTGTCTGTCTGCCTGCCAAGATGCTGGTGCAATAGAAAGTAATTGGAGAAAAATAGGATTTTAGTTCCTGTGTTGTGAACTTTGAAGACACATTTTTCCACAAGCTAGTAAGGTGACCTGAGGGCTTGTTTAAAACTGCTATGTAAATACTTTAGTGTGCATAGTCTGGGACAGATTCTCTTTAAAAGTAAGGGCTATCTCACACAAGTGATTTTGTGACCACTACAAGAATCTCTTTGCTATGTGTTTCGCAGCCCAATGTCATTACAGCCATTATTTATACCTGCACAGGCATTTGCTGTAGCCAACTGTAAATCGCCATAGAATGAGACATTTGTAGCTGCAGCAAGCTCAAGTGACATAGCCCTTTTGACGTTTCTAGATTTCCCATTTTTTTTTTTTTTTTTTTAACATACAAGTTTTTGTTGAAAATTTTTTCAGTACAAAATAGAATAGTGACAGTGAAAGGAGGGGATTCTTCAATGCTGATTTTAAATTACTCATTTGAGAAGTTATCCTAGTTGATTACACATGCACAGCATTTTTGTGAGCATCAGGTTGCAGGATAATATCTGTAAGGTGGTGGATACAGCAATGATGTTGTAATGCTGTTCCATGGTATCCCTATGACTTTAACAAAAAGTAAAACTAGTGAAAAGGTTGCAGTAAAATCTACAACGTAGTGATGTATAAGCATAGGTCCATCCTTTCTAGCCCCAGGCAGGTGGCAGATTTTCCCTAATGTGAGCAATATCATTTGTTGTGCCCCATTACAGTGCATGTTTGAGATTCCTGTGCATTGAAGCTGGCCATACACCTGTCAATTATTTGACATTCAACTCGCGGGCTGAATGAAAAAAAATTGAACGAGGAATCGCCGCTGTTTGCATTGTATTCTGACAGGTGACAGTGGCATCTGTCGGAATACCCTATCAGAGCGGGCAGCTCATCGGCTGGCGGCTCTGGTCGCACGAAGATTTTTCAGCCGGCTCTTACAATCAGCTGATTGAGGTATGCCGGCTGAAAGGGAGCCGAGGGCCCCACACACTGTGTGAATTTCGACCGGTACATTAAAAACCGGCTGAAATTTGGCCAGTGTATGGGCACCTTTTAGGCTAATACTTAAATAGTTGGATCATTAAATGTAGATGGTGGCTGTAGAACATACATAATCTCTCAGTAGCGTGTGGTAGAATAGTATTTCAAGTAAAATAAAGATCTCTATTATGTTTTGTTGAAAATGGTTACCATTTTGTATTAGAAACCAGTGCCCCATTGATGTCCAACTCCTTGTGAGTATAGATGAGCCTAGGCTTGGTGTGAATCCAATTCACATGAGTTTGCCCAAGCCGACTCAGAACTTTGACCTTCACTTCCCCTTCCTGGCCCAATCAGTGGCAGGGGAATTCTCTGCTCCTTTGTGACTTATAGCTGCAGGGCAGGGAATTGGCCTCCCCTCAACAGATTAGATCGGCAGTCAGTTTTGAGCTGGCTTGGGTAATCTCAGGCGAAGGCCAGATTAATCATTACTTGCAAGTTGAATAAATGCTTACTGGTACAGCAGTCAATTGGTGTTTTTGCATTCATTCAAGAATACTTGTGCTTAAGGGTGTTGTCCTTTAATTCCCCCCACCCCTCTGACTGTAGTCCTTCTGATATCATTCTTACACTCAGCCCTGATCCAGCTGGTCATCACTGCCCTGCAGCACGCTGCCTTCACAAAGCAAATCTCTAGCATGCTTTTGATGCTGCAGCCTCATTCATTCCTATGGGACTGCTGTATTCTGGAGGCCGCCATAGCTATGGCTGTCTCATACGAATGTATGCGGTCGCTGTGCACACGTGCAAAATGAAGAGGAGCTGGACGCAGGCAGTGTGGGTCTGGGCTGCACAGCGAATATTGTTGGATCAGGGCTGAAGCTAAATATTCTCACTGTACAGAAAGGGAAATTAAAGGTCAACTTTTCCTAGAGGTGCTTCAAGTAGCTGCTTTTTATCCATCACTGTTCCGGCCTTCAGTCTATTCAGTGTTTTTATAACTCGTGCATCTAGTTTTCAATATTTTAAAAATAGCATTGTTCAACTTGGAATATTTATTGCGCTTTAAAGTAAGAACTTGCACTGAAAGCAGTGGGATCGATTGAGAAGGCCATCTGATGTTGTTATTTTTTGGTAGTCCCTACTTCATTGAATTTAGCTGAAAAAGAAAATCCTACATACAAGTATAGATAAATAAAAATAGGGCATCCGTACAGGCTTCCTGGAGGATGAATACTTGATGACTTTTTGTAGCAGTAATGAACTAGATGTATTTGACATTATAGAAGCTGTACCAAGTATGTTTTTGCTGCCTTTTTTATTGAGCGTTTTTGAGGGTACATATAGGTGCATATTAATTGTATATTAATAGTAGATGTGTCAAAATTGTAATACTATACCCCAGTAATAAAAGTGTTTAACAATATGAATAGCACATTGTATGTTTATGCAATGTATTAGGATCACATACTATTGTCTTATGTGGAGTTGACAGTTCCTTTAAAGAAAAAAAAAAGTAAAAAAGGCTGTTAGAACTTGCACTGTGCTGGGACGTAAAAGATTGATTTGCTTACGGTTGTTTTAGGAATTATGCCACACAAGACTGTCTGTGACCGTACACACGCACTCCTTACGTGAGTGCTTACAGTCTTCTAGAAGAGGAAATGCCCTTCTCATGAGACACTGGTTTGTTACCTAATGTACAGAATGGAGTTTTGTGGAGCTCTCTTTATGCATTTCTCTTGTAGAACCTCTTGCCTACATCAACCCCTCAGGAGGCACAACAATGGCTACATAGAAATAGATTTGCTGCTTTCTCGCGGCTATTCTCAAATTTCTCAGGTAACTCCCTAGAAGGAAAAGTGTTAATACAATGCTATTTCACATTCCCTCAACCTGCAACCTACCTTCTCTCCCTCCTTAGCAACAAACACAAATGTATACTTCTCTCCCGCTTGAGTGAAATATGCTGAGCATAAAAGGAAGTTTGGGGGGTAAGGGCGGGGGGGGTTTCGCTTAGGAGGTGTGTTAAAATTTTGCAGGAACATTGCAAAGATTCCATGTTTTATTGAAATTCCTTAGTCATTCCACATTTCAGGACAAGCTGCAGTCTGCTTGCATATTCGCTTTGATGGTAACTTGGAAGGGAAAGGATGGATAGGATATTAAATACTTGAAGTTCTGATACATGTGCGGTTTGAATGTTAAATGCTTATGTGAAGCATTTTTTTAGGGCCTTTTTCTTACTGCAGGCCTTTGTGGGTGCTTGATGGGTAGTTTTGACTCATTAAAAGCACCCTGTAAATGATGGATTGTATCATGGTATTGCAGCTCACGTGCTAAGGGCAGTTATTCAGCTGCATTGCCTTCTTTTGTGCATCCAATGCATTGTGAGCTTGGCATGTCCTTAAAGAGGAACTTTACCCTGATCTTAAGAAGGTTCAACAAAGGCACCTTTGGAAATATTTAGTAATGGCAATCTACACAAAGATACTTTATAATTGGCAACTATATATTCTTTGCATTCCTTATTTTTCTTTTCCTCCCCATTTTTTCTCAGTGGTCATATTTTTACCAAGGGCAGATTTAATCCATCTCCTGGAACTCTGGCACATGTGACCGGGACATGTGACCATGCACATCATCTCAGGGGAGGAAAATCCCTTTCCCTGAGATGCCGCAAGATTTTGCAGTTTACAGATGAGATTTCCCAGGAAGGCACCGATGTAGTATTATTATTATACAGGATTTATATAGCGCCAACAGTTTGCGCAGCGCTTTACAATATAAGGAAGACATTACAATCACAATACAATTCAAGACAATATGGTGAGGAGGGCCCTGCCCCTGAGGTCTTACAGTCTAACGGGAGGGGGAAGTGATACGTGAGGAGGTAGCTGTGTGGGGGATGAATTGTTTGAGAGATTAACTTCCCAGGATGCATCTCTTAGGCACGAGCTACATCACTAATGCCTAAGAGGACCTGAAAGTGGAAAAACAGTATATGCAAGTAAAAAAAAAAATGTTTTATTTTGCCATTGGGTGTAAGATGTTTTCATACCAGCATGCAGAGCTGCATACTGATGTGATTTTGAGTGAAAGGGGGTAAAAGTCCACTTTAAAGGGTTAATATGTAGCCTCTCCGTTGCTTCCCAAGGATACTAATATGCCAGATTTGTCAAAATAGATGGAACCTGCTTGAGGAAAGATTGAATAGGCAGAAATTATGGGGCTGACCCCAAGAAGTGCAACACAAAAATTAAAGTGTTAAGTGTATTGCATTTAATTTGAACTGAAAAACCTAATAGAATTTACACACAAGTTACTGTCACACTCTACACAATGAATATATTATACGGTAGAGCCGGATTCCCCTACATGGCTGCAAAAAAACAGCCATGCATTTATAGTTTTGTTTATCTTGGCTAGTCGAGTCACACAGGGAAATGATATACATAACTAGAGAAGAGTTGCTGTACTTTATAATTAGACCTGTGTGATCTGTCTTGGTAAGAGTTCCCTTTTTATGTTGGCTGTAGTGTGTAGCAATAAACAGGAGAATGAGAACCAAACTGGTTTCGGAGAGACATTAATAGTAAATGGGCACATAGAGACGGCAGCTAAGAAATCTTGTAAATGGTAGTGCCAGTGTCTTCAGATGATTTGACTAAAATCTAGGCCTAGGATCTCGTATATCTCCATGGCGTTGTTTCTTGGGTAGAAATGTAGCGTCATCCTTCAGAAAAGCTCCTTGTTTAGCTTGCTTCCGTTCATTTTCTATTTCTTTTCTAAGTTGAAGAGTTTAGTGGACAACAAACTCCCTGTATGCCCAGCATTTTCACTCAGACGTATACATCATTGGCTACATGCCCTATTTCCAACATATGGCTTAGGGTTTCTTACACTATGAAATGCTCTCTCCTTCTAGATATATATGTTATATTTCTGTGTGCACCCTCACAAACCACAATGTTCATGTTTAATGCCCCTGACAGTGTTCAGGTTAAATAGTAAAATATCTAAACAGGGATAGTGTAAATTCTTGGACACATAGACCATAGTTACTCATGCCCCCTTTAACGGTTTAGTTTTTTTAATCAATCCTTCCTGTCCATGTTAGTATAATTACCTATGCCCCAAAACACTTTTTTTTCCCTACAATGTTTTTTTGTACGTTAAATATGCATAGGAATTTCCCATATCCTATTTTTGAGACATTGAGGGGAATTTATCAAAACTGGAGCAGACAAATTCTGGAGCAGATGTGCACAGCAACCAATCGGCTTCTCTTTTATTTTCAAATCTTACCTGAACAAACTGAAGAACGAAGTTGATTGGTTGCCATGGGCAACTGTTCCATATTCTGTCTTCTCCAGTTTTGGTAAATTCCCCCCATTGTATTTTATGGCAGTGTCAGGTGCAGAGAGAGATTTAGAAGCAATGCAGGGTTACATCTTAATGTTTTAAGAAACTTATTCAGGGCTGACATTGTTTAGCTGCCTGGCTATCTCTGGCTCCAGTACTTTGAGTCACCAGAGCAAATTCAGATTTCCGGATCTGCATACTTGTTTTTGGATTGATGACTCAGTGTTGAAGCTATTGGATCAGCATGGCTTCCAGACAGGTTACACTTCAGGTGATCAGCAATTGCAGCCCCAATATTTTTGCTTGTTACACATTTTCCTTAAAATGTTAGTTTTCTCCTATCCCAGTCAATCAGTAGCTATATCAAACATGAAGCTAAAGCAACTGGGGCATGTATATTTGTTTCAGGTGCAGATTTATTAAAACTAACTAGAGACGATGTAATCCAGATCTGTGGGCCTGCTGATGGCATTCGGCTCTTCAATGCACTAAAAGGAAGGTGAGTAAATATCTGTATTCCTGACTGTGGTGTCAATAAAGTGATGCACATTGTTTAATGTAGTACATTGTATTTGTTTCTGTCTTACTCTGGGCAAGTGACCTCTGTGCTATAAAGCCTATATAGGAACACAGAACTTCTAGTCCGCTTAATACAAATGTTACAGTAAGCTTTTTATCTGCAATAGCCATATTTATCAAATATTCAGTTCATAAGGGGTCTACATCAAATTTACACTTCTGGTTGTCATGTTCTGGATACATCTGCTGTGGCCTTGAAGTACGGCCTATGTTCTTGCTGCACATAAAGGCGCTTTGCTCATTTATTTTTGTTCTCCCATCTAGAGTGGTGCGGCCTAGGCTTACGATTTATGTTTGTCAAGAGTCCCAACAACTGCGTGAACATCAGCAACAAAAACATGAAAATGGGGAGCAAGGAAATGGAGCTTTCTATGGTATGTTTGCCTTTATATATTAAGCGGCGCAACAAAGGTTGAAGCTGAACTACAGAGAGCTATTTAAAAAAAAACAGCAGTTATATATGAAATAAAACAATGCTGTGTCTTTTAAATGCAGCTACAATAAATTGTTTGAGTTGTACCAAGATCATGCTCTTTTTATCCCCTGCACGGCAGAATTCTTACTAGGAGAGGAAGGTTTAGCATAAAGAGTGAACGTGTTAACTAGGAACATGCTGTTAGGAGAGGATCGAAGTGTGAGCTTAGTGATGACTTCTTAGTATGCTGCTTCAATGTCCAGTAGGGGGTGTTCGTGATCATTTGGTGGATGAGCCATTCACAAATATATTTAATTTGTAGAGCCGGCGGATCGCGTGTATGGGGTGCCGATCGGTTCCCTCCGCGCGAGGGTGCGAGCCCGGGATCAGCAGGTCGCCTGTGTCACGGGATCAGAGGGAGCTCGGTACACGAGCTCCCTCCAGTCCCCTCTCCTCTGCAAGAATGCGGAAGTGTTGTATAATACATCACTTCCGCATTCTTGTGTCACTCTCCAGCTTCAGAAGCTGCAAAGAAGCTGATGGAGCAGATCTCTGCTTCATCAGCTTCTTTTGGGGGGTCCTAGGTGACATTAGGGGTCTTGGAGACCCCTGATGTCTCCATAAAGAGGACCTGTCACATATTCTGCTATCACATAGGGGGTTTTATTTGTTTAGTAAAAAAAAAAAAAAGTAAAAAAAATTTAAGTTTCCCCCCCCCCCCAAAAAAATGTAAAGTTACACATAAAAAAGAATTTAAAAAACATTTTTAGTCCCCACCCATACATACACGCATGCGTCGGGGGCGCATACGTGCAAAAACGACGATTGCGCCCATTACGCCGCACATGTTACATATCGCCGCGAACGTCTGAGTGAGAGCAATAAGTCTAGGGCCATCAATCACTGATAACACTAAACTGATGAGCGGTAAAAGCTTTTAAAGTGTCGCCTATGGCCAATTTTGGGTATGGTAGTTTTCTGCGATTTCGC